TCCGTGTCCTTTGTACTTTCCTCATGTTCCAAGATTCAAGCTTATTATTTCCTTTTATATTTAGATGATTTCCTTTAGCCATTCATTTGGAGTAATCCTGCTGGTGACAAATTCTATTAGTTTTCCTTCATCTGAAGTGTCTTGATTTCTCCTTCATTTCCTGAAAGGATATTTTTTGCTGAACATAGAATTTTATGATGACAATTCAATTATTTCAGCCTTGAAAAAATGTGCTATTTCCTTCTGAACTCAATGGTTCCTGAAGAAGATTCCACTCTCATTTGAATTGCCCTCGCCTGTATGTAAGCTGTTATTTTTTTTCTTGCTGCTTTTAAGAGTGTTCCATTGTTTTAATTTGTAGCTTAATTATGATAGATCATGTGGATTTTGGGGGGTTTTCCTATTTGGGGTTCACTCAGCTTCTTAAATTTATAGGTTTATGTCTCTTGCCAAATTTAGGACATTTTCAGCCACTATTTCTTCCAATAAATTTTCTTCCTTCTTCATTTATTTAATTTTTTTGTGGTGCTGAGGCTCAAAACTAGGGCTTCCTGCATACTAGGCAAACATTATAGCACATCTCCAGCTCAGCCTTCCCTTCTAAATGTGATATGAATGCTAAATCTTTTGTTACTCCTGCAAGTTTCTTCAATTTTTTATTTTTATTTTTATTTTTTTTTAGTTTTTTTCCTTGCTCTTCAGACTGCATGTTTCTACTGCTTTTAAAGTTCTCTGATTCTCTTTCTTCTTTCCCCTCCACTGAACCCATCAATTGATTTAAAAAAAAAATTGTTTTGCTCAATGTGTATCTTTTATTTCTCTGCTAGGCTTTCTGTTCCAGGAATGTTTGTAATTGCTCATGGAAGCATTTCTATGAGAGCTGCTTTAAATGTTTGTCAAATAATCCTAACATCTCTGTCCTCTTTAAATTGCTATCTATTGATTGTCTTTTTTTTTTTCCAGTTTGCAATATTCCTGGTTCTGAATAGACATTCTTTTCAAATGACCAAGGATCATAAACAAAGAGACCATATCATGAGCCACAAAACAAACAAATGTAAACTTGGATGGGGGGGGGCGTTTTATGTTGATTCTCTGAATCTTATCTAGCCTGGGTTAGCTAAATTCCTTTGATACCTCTGTTGCAAGAGAAAGAAAATGCTGCCTCATTATTAACAGGAGGTGGAAGTCTGGGTTCCCCACTCTATCTCCACTGATACCACATTGAGGGTGAGTGGACTCTTTGTTATGCTGGGTAGAAATCGGGGTTATGACTCCATTAGCCCTGCACTGATGCCTCTCCAGCTATGTGTGTAGGAGCCCCTTATTACTTCTCTTCATGAGGCCTCCACTGACACAGGGTGGATGGTGTCAGTAATGTTGTTACCCCTGGGCTGGACTGACAGTCCTGACTTCCATTATGTCTCTTTTACCATCACCTTAGCAGGGGGAGGGAGTGGTCCCCCACATTACTGCCAAGTGTGTGTAGGGGTAGAAATCCAGGCTCCTCACTTTGCTAGAATGGATAGGAGTGGACCATCGCCTTTTTAAAGGTATTAGGAGCAAAATAGAGTTATTGTCTAACAATCTTCTTATAAGACTAGCCTATTCTCTGCCTGCCCATTGGCATTTCCTAGCTGCCAGGTTCTACAGCTCTAAATCTTGGATGTATGAAGCAAAGAGATGACACAGAGAATTCATCACTGTTATTCCTTTGATCTTCTGTTTGTTTTATATGTAAAATCCAAAATTCTTATTGTATTTAATGAGAGGAATAAGAAAAATACGGGGGCTGGGGATATAGTTCAGTTGGTAGAGTGCTTCCTCACATGCACAAGGCTCTGGCTTCAATCCTCAGCACCACACATACACACACCCCCCAAAAAAAATAAGGAAAGAAAAATATGGTTACCCAATTTCCCAGAAGTATATTTTTGTATAATATTTGATACATATAAAAGAATACAGGTAAATATATATGTATGTGTGTATATGTGTGTGCTATAAAACACAAGTGAATAAACACTAATTTTTTTATTATTATTATTTTCTGTGCTAGGGATTAAACCCAGGGCCTTGCACATGCTAGGCAAGTACTCTTCCACTGACCCATACCCAATACAATAATGAGTTGGTTAACCTCTCCCCAAAAATGGGTAATAAGTTAAATAGGAGTAAGAAGTTCTAATATGCTATTGTACAATATGGTTACTATAGATATTGTACTACATATTTCAAAAAGCTAACAGAAAAGAATTTCAATGTTTTTACCATGAAGAAAATGATAAATATTTGAGGAGATAGCCATGTTTAGCCTGATTGAAACGTATGCAATGTATACATGTACAGAAAGATTACATGGTATGCCATTCATAGACACAATTTTTTTATGTTTTTATGTATTGGTTTAAAAAATAAATTAAAATTAAAATGTAAGTGAGTTAGACATTTTCCTAAGGAAAAATGAAAAGCACACTACTTAATTCCAAACTAACCTCCTAACCCCTTACCCTTAGCTGACAATCTAAGTTTGACCTTCTAGGGTTATGAAATGTCCTTTGGTTCTAAAGTCCACCAGTGACTGAATCTTAACCCTATGACGTAGTTAACATATCACTATTGGCTGGTGCTATTGTTTAAAAGCCATCTTTCCTCTGTTGTGATGTTTCCTGCCTCCTGCCATGTCAACATCAGGAGTGACAGTCTTGCAGCTGCAAGCCTGCAAAGTGGATGACTCAGGACAACTAAAATAAATACACTTCAGAACTGAGGATTCCCACAGTCACAGGCCACTCTAACCCATTGTCCACCCACCCTATGCCTTTTTTCCTTTTGTCCTTCTCCCAGATGCATTCTTAATATTTTGTGCAGTGTTAAACATCTACCACTTCACTTTCTGCTAGTTTAATGAACATGAGCTGTGAAACACACAAACAGGCTGGGGACCTGACCAGGAAACAGGATCTGATGATCCACCAAATCAGTACCTGGGAGGTCTCCAGGATGACCAGCATGTTTTGTTCCTCTCCAGGGGGATGTTTGGTAGCCTTTGGATCTTCCTTCACCTCTTCTAGGCATTTTCCCTTTCCCCTGGCTGTGTTCCACCAGACTTCTGGGAAGACACAGGGTACAGGATGTGAACTTCACATTATTATTGCACAGACAAAAGTCCCTGAGGTCCAGAGGATGCCACATGAAGCCATTTTCCATCTCATAAGCACTGTTGGTCTGGCTGATTCCCTCTGCAGACCTCAAACTGGCCCAGCATGCAGAGAGGCTGAGCAGCAGGGGTCTTATAGTTTGTGGACAATACACTGCCTGGATTGATTCTGGGAAAAGATCTAAATAAGCCTGACAAAGAACAAAGGGTTGCAGCTGTGGTATCTTGAAAACTAACAGCTAGATGTTACTTGCTGAGAAACCCAACAGCTGGATCTTACTTTTGAGGTTCAGTGACTTTACTCCCCACTTCTTCCCTAGCATTGGAGCCATGGTGGAAAGTACAATGGGGCTTGTGCATAGAGGAAATAGAGGAACCCAGTTCTGGTGTGGCATCTGTCCTTATAGACACATGATCTCGTGGACTTTTGCTTTTGTCTCTGAGTCTCAGGTTTTTTTGTGGGTTAAAAAAATGGGGTAATAATGCCTATTCTACAATAGATTAAATAAAATAAAATAAAATTAAATTAAATAAGATAAATAAATTATTTAGAATAATGTTGTGGGTATGGTGATGGTGCCATGGAAGTAATACGCTCCCTGGTATTTACTTTATTTAGGACACTCTAGCAGAGAGGAAAGGAAAATGGGAGGAACAGAGGACAAATGTAACTGGATTGACACAATGGTGATAACTGATGAAGGAAGAGGCTGGACTTGGGCATGCTCTATTATTTTTCCTTTTGTATCTGTTTGGAATTTTCTATAATTAAAAACTTAAAGAGGAGCTGGGAATATAGCTCAGTAACAGGGTGTTTGCCTAGCATGTGCAAAGCCCTGGAGATGTCCAGCACTGGGGGGGAAAAAAAAGGTAAAGAATAGTGAGTAATACCCATTCTACATTCCAATAGGATCAACAACATAATGGTTAGCCATACCCTTGGAAAACAGTGTTTTGCCTTAGAAGATATCATTGCCACACTGGTTCTTTAACTAAATATGCAAAATGCAGCATGGAGCTCATCCTCACCACCCTAACCCTATCACCAGCTCTCCAAGAAGAGGAAAGATCAAGAACCTCTTGTGAGGCAGAGGTGGAGTTGTGTGACTGCCACACACAAGTCTTTATTGTATTCCCCTCTTTTTCTGGTGTAGAGGGTTCTCTGCCACAAGTTTATGGCTACCCTCACATCCCCTTGGTTCTCTTGCCTCCTCTTCCCTGAGATTTTTCAGTTTCCTCCTCTCCTGGATCTTTCCTCTTTCTCCTTGATTTTGTCTTCACACTGTCAGATTCAAGACAAGTAGTACAGGTGAAAGAGAAAGAGACCCAGAAACAGAGTTGAGTGGGGTCAAGGGCTGAGGTCAACACCAGTTAACCAGGTACAGGGACTTAGATGGGTCAACATCACCATATTGAAGAGGGCTGGCTCTATAAAGATGATCAAGACCAATCCCGTTTCTAGGAACTCCCATCTTGTGGTGGAGAAAGGCAGATAAACACATATTTATAAAATTTAAAAATTCCAGGAATACACATATATAGAAAAAATTAACAGGATCTCAGGACCTAACCTTGCCTCCTGAAGGTGAAGAGTGGAGGCAGTGCAATGGTCAGAGAGAGTGGGTCCTCAATTCCTGAACTAAAGGTTAAGAGACTAGTATGTGACATGAAAAAGGAATTGCAACAAGCCTGTGCTTACTGCAGAGAGAGATGAAGGGGCAGCTGGCCGGGCAGACACTCTTTCTCTTCTCTTCTTGGGCAGAATTCTGTAATTGAGTCATGAATCCCCGTTCAAACTACAAGAAGACTAACTCACTTGATTTATCCAGGTGAAACTTACCTAAAGCCTGTTAAACAAATGACTGTAGAACTGATAACAGGCAAAGGAGGGATCGCTGTCCTAAATGCTTAGAAGCGATGTTATAGCACTGATTTTTGCAAACAGCTTTGTCCACCATAAGAAGAGAGGAGGTGTGTTCCTATCTCTCTGATTGGATGAGAGGGAAGGGGTTTCAAGTAGCTTCGGGGTGCAAGAGATACACGGCTGAACACGAGTTCTCACGGAACAGGCTTCAAATGTCCACAGGTCCATGAGACACTGCGGCTATGTCTCCGTTATTCTGGTCCGTGTTGACGCAGCCCCACTTCCACTTTGGGTTCATGAGGCCCCGTTCTCCTTCTTCCGGTTCCGCTTGTCCTCTGAGATATTGGTTCCGCTAGGCTCTCAAGGTCAAATGTAGTCCTAAAGTTCAGCAGCCACATCTTGAAAAACAACTCAAGGGACAGTTTTTAGAAACAACAAACTTGAAGGTTTATGGCCGGGTTTCAGAACCACAAAAGGACCCAGGTAGGTTTACAGAAAAAGGAAAAAAATATATCACCACCATCACCACCACCATTCCCAATCAGGAAAGAACTGAACAGCACTAAGACCATACCCCTGTGATCATCAGGATGAACATTTAGAACTTCTTTTTGTTACTCTCTTTCACTAACAGGAAACCCTGTTTGTCCAATTGACAGCTCATCACCCGTGTTTCCTGTGTTTACTTTGGATGGTTGAGTCTTGTCTTCACATTGTCAGATGTTTCTCCTACTTACAGCAATCTATTTTTTAAGTGCGGAGGCTTATTTTGTCTACATTAGTAATATTGGGTGGGTTTTTTTTGCATAAGCTTTATAAAAGGCAAACAGTACAGACACATTAAAATATTAACATCTAATACCAAAAGGTGGCCCTTCTCTAAAGAATTGTAAGCATTTTAAATTTGCTTTGTATCATGCAGGATAGTACAGTGTGGTAGTACAGTGTGCTCCTCTTACAAGGTATCTTTACTTTCTGTTCCCCAGAGATGTCTGTCTATTCCTGGGCTGTTTTCTTTTATTTCTATGCTCAACTAGGGTGGTCTTCATCTTTGTCTGTTGATGTCTCCAAGTGATATGTCCTTAGCTTTTACCTGTCTCCTGAGCAGACCTGTCCAATTGATGCTAGATATTTCCATTGAAATGTTCCCTGAAATCCCCCAACTTATACTTGTCACTTCCATTGTGCTCCATTTCCTATATTTTCCAACACCAGGTACTCATTCCCCACCCATGTAGGAAACTCAGAGACCACACTGAGCTGCTCTCAGTAGCTTCCTCCTCCATCTATCCAACCTAGTCCCTCACCAATGCTGTGCATGTGCTTCAAAATCAGGACCTTGATGTCCCTCACTTGCCACTCACCTCTCACCTCCTGAATCAATTGTTACTACTGCTTACAAAGCAATTCCTTGAAAATTTTCCGTCATTTCTTTGCCTTAAATAAATCTATTGGGTTTTCACTGCTTTTGTATAAATCCAGATTTTTCACCATTGTGCAGCACCTTTGATATTCAATCCTCAATCCATCTTTCCAGTTTCACATCCTCCTTTCCACCCCAAGCAGTCAGTGTCTGAGGTTCAGTCAATACCCTGAACTCTTGGCCATTATCAAAGAAACTCTGACCTTCTTCATTTGCACAACTATATTTATTCCTGTACCTGGAATGCCTTTATCCTTCTTCTCAGTTTCATATCTTAAAAGAAGAAAAAAATAAAAAAGTCCCCAGGACTTTAGCTTATTTCATTTTCTCATGGAGCACAGTGCTAAGTGTTTTACGTGTATTAATTAACTCACAGAACAAACTTACAAGGGAGATACTATGAAAATTCCCATTTTATAGATAGGAAAAACACGGAGGCTCAGAAAAGATTTCATGTGATTATTCCCACCAGTGAAGGCATCATCTAGGGATCATTGTGGCCTTAATTTATAGTCCAATAACACATGAGTAGTTTTTTTTAGGAATTACATGTATTTCAAAGTATTTATTTACTTCATCTTTATAATTAGGTTTAGAATTTCTACAAACCTATTTTCAACCTAATTTGGCTTATAAAACTATTTATAAGAATCGTACTTGTTTCTGAGCACTTATTTATTTAACAGCTGACTTTTACACATTTTTTGAGTATTTGTTTGCTTAAAGGTTTAAAAAGTTTTTTTAAAATGTAAACAATGATGTGTAAGACTGAAAAACTGTAGAGGAAATGCTCATGACATAGTAGAGGAGCAAAAAATAGAGAACCGAGCCAAAAGAGAACACCACAGAATGAAAAGAAAGAACAAAAGGGAAATAAGAACAAAATGATGTGAAACTTGTCCCGTTCCAGGTGAGAACAACCAATAATAATTAGCCAAGAAAAGCCCTTACTTAGAGAATATGGATTCTAACTGTGAGACCATAGTGTAACACATGAAGATCAGGAGTTAAATACAGGGCAGACACTCACCAGGGGCCATATCTATTGAAAGGTTTTATCTAACCCCAATTTAAGAAAACCCACAAAATTTGTTCATGCAAGAAGCCACCAAACTGCAGCAGGATGCCGGTGAGTCTACTTAGCATTGGCTTGCCATCAGACAATGTTGGTCCCTGGATTCTTTCAGTGTTTTATTTAGAAAAACATGATTGTTTATTGTGCTTGCAATAAAATAAATGAACATAAATAAGGGGCAGGTATACTTTACTAATACCTGTTTGACTGTTCTTTATTAATACCATATGGCTAAGAGTTTCCACTTGTCCTTGGACTAGGATGCCTTGAACTTTTGGGTGACATCCACTGTTATAGAAGCTGAGAGTCCTCTGCTGGCATGTCTATTTTTGATGTGTCTATTAAGTCTGCTTCCCTTCCTGGTTAAATTTAGTTAGCCTGATTGAAAAATCTCCCACCTCCACAATTCAGATAACTGGCAACATTTAGTTAACTCCTGAAAGTATTTGGTATTTGGTTTTTGATTTTTTTGTAGGAATGTTCCTATTGTAGGACCAAAAAAAAAAAAAATCATGAATTTTCCAATACTAAAGCTTTTTGGTTTTAGGTTTTTTGTTTGTTTGTTTGTTTTTTGGTTGTTGTTTTGTTTTTGGGTAGTGCTGGGGATTGAACTCAAGGCCTTGTGCATGTGAGGCAAGCACTCTGTCAACTAAGCTATATTCCCAGCCTGGTTTTAGCTATCTTTTTTTAAAAATTTTTATTAGTTATTGATGGACCTTTATTTATTTGTTTATATGTAGTGCTGAGATTTAAACCCAGTGCCTCACACATGCTTAGGCGAGTGCTCTACCACTGAGCCACAACCCCATCCCCTGGTTTTAGTTATCTTAATGCTAATCTATTTCTAAAATTAATTTTGCAAACAGGAAAGCATTCTACTTGATAGGATTTATTTGAAGACATCAAAGGGATTTAAAATGAAGTATCCACTTCACAAAGAAAGGAATACTGAGTTAGCAATATTGAACATATTTTTAAAATTTCAAACTAACATAGTAACTGAGGGAGTTTGTTGAGTCAGATAACCTTCAGAGGAAATATGGCAGTGCAAGATCCACATAGCCCACTTTGTTGTCACCCAGCTCATTCCTCCCTTGTCATGTACAGGTCTGACCTCCAATTGCAAGCATCTGCATCTCTTTGTCTGAAGGTTTCTCTGAGCCCGCTGGCCACCCAGAAAGCAGGCTGGATGTTCTGGAGACTTAACATTACCTGGTGCCAGCTGTCAACTAACCAGTGACAGGAATTGGTGTTTTAGTACCCCAGCTCCCTGCTCCTGTGTGCAGTTACTCAGGAGTATGTATCATACTGAATCCCAGAGTCTTCAGCAGTATTTTGTCCAGTTATCTATTGCTAAAACTTGCCTAATAACACTGATCTTTCCCACCTTCTCTCATTCCCCATTCTCCATTAGTCTCCTTCACCACCAGAGATCTGTACCAGCTGCTGGATCCTAGTCACTCTTTACCTCTTCTTTTTATTTTGCAAATTTTCAAAAGTGACATTTCAAAACTGATATTGAAAGTATAGAGTACTTGACTATTACTAATGTTCAAGACAGTATTCAACAGATCTAAAATAAAAGCCACTTATTTTTCTGATCTGAGGCATTCTATCCATTAATTATCATCTCCCCATTATCTTGGCCCCTAGCAACCGATGAACACATTCTAATCTGATTTTGATTTTGTTTGCTTTAGAGTCCACATATAAGTAAGATCAGGGAATTTATATTTCTGTGCTTGGTTCATTTCACTTAGCATAATATCCTCCCATTCCATCCATGTTGTTGTAAATGACAGAATTTCTTCCTTTGAGAGGCTGAATAGCATTCCATTGTGAACATATACCACATTTTCTTTATTCATTCTCTAATGGTGGATTCTTGAGTTTATTACATATATTGGCTATTGTGAGTAGAGTAGTATTCCATTGAGCACAGGAGTGAAGATGTCTCTTCACCATAATAATTTCAAATTTGGGGAATAAATTATGTCAGATGTGGGACTGCTGGATCCTATGGTAATTCTATTATTAGTTTTTTGTGGAATCTCCATAATGGTTTTCATAGTAGTTGTACTGATTTACATTCCCATCAAGAGATTTCTCCATATTTCCTCTTTTAAATGAATATTTAATGGGACATTAAAATCTCAGAATCACAGCTCTGGCTTTCTTCTTCAAACTGTGCCTCAGGCATTAGTTTCCCCTGCTGTCAACTTTTGGGCTGGCCATGCCCAGTTAAGGTGTGTTGGCTTTGTGATAAGCAAGCTTCCTGCAGCTGGTTTAGGATTTTTCTTTTGATGAGAGTCACAGTGTGAATTCCTGACACATAGAATGGTTTGTTGTCTCTCATCAAGGAAGATATCTACCTTGAAATGATTTCATTCATTCTGCTAAAAGAGCTCACCCAAAAGGTCTCTCTCTCTCCAGCCTCTGCCTAAAAGACCTGCTAATGGAGCAGTCTATCTTTGGATTAAATTATGCTGGTTTTTGAAATCCAAGTGAAAGGTACAAGAGCAACACAATATTAAAGTTTCTTCTTAAACCTTTGAAATGCGCTTGAACACAGAATAATGATCAGAAATGTGAGAAAACTATGACAAAAGAGCAAAAATGAGAAGGTTTTACATTGTAAGTAAATAAAATGTGACATTTTAGTCTTGCACAATCATATTTTCCATGTGGTGAGGAGAAAGGAGGAGTTAGTCTTGTATTCTGTATTGAGAATGGAAAGAAGACAAGCA